ACCTGCTTTTGTCTTAGTTTATCATAATGATAATGAAGAAGCTACAGTTTTTCCTAGTCATATCATTTAGAAAATATAATGTTGCTCAAATTATTGCAACCGTAAATTTTGTCTTGAAACTTCCAAAAAATCGCAATCACTGATGGCTTTAACTTTGGGACCCTCCTTTATGATTTCAGACGATCATTTCTAAATTGCCTGTCTCAATATAATAAACTTGTCTCTTGATATATGACAGCGAACTTACTAGGTATTGCTCACTGATAAATTTATATTTCTTCTCTTTTGCAGATATATATATTTTGTTTTGGTGTAAATTATTCATAAATTAACAAAAATATATTGCCTCAAATATGAGAGTTGGTTAGGTGATTCACTTTGATTTTGATTAATTATAAGATTCTAATTCACTTTGGTCCTTAAATTGTTATATTTTCTTCATATTATCTTTATTGATTGCATATAATAATAGAGAATTTTTATCAAAAGGCAGTTTAAATGCAAATAATTAAAGAGAGAATTTTATAAAAAAATTAACAGACACATATTTTAAAATAATCAACATAATTAATCATATTGATCTCTCTATAAGTTAATTATTTAGCTTGTCTACCAATAACTTAAAAGGAGAAAAAAAAAAAGATAGTTAACAAGTTGAGAGGAGTAGTTATAATGATATAAAGATAGCTGGGAAAATCTCAAAATTTTAAACTTAGCCTTATCAACTCTCATTTATTAAGTGTAGGACAAAATAAATCAATAACATTACCTCCTATTCTAAACATAGGAGTTAGTTGGAGGTTGATCTCAATTTATTTTGTCTTCTAAATTTATAATTTTTTTTAAAATATTCTTATTAATTGTAAAAGATTTCTACCAAAGAGTAGTTACAACATACATGATTAAATAAAATAATTTAAAAAAATCAATATACATTTGTTATAAACAACCAATTGAACTAATTTTTTTATTAATAATTTAGCTCTTATGGTAAGGATCAAAAGTAGTACTGTGCTCTTTTTTATACTCCCTCCAATTTTAAATATAGAAGTTAAATGAAAAAATTGTTTTAATGTTAAATGTGATATCTCAATTTATTTTGTCTCTCCAATTTATAATCTCTTTTCAGACTATCTAATTATCTATATTAATTTCAAATATTAAATAAATTTTTGTTGATGTAGTAGTTTTCAATGAAAATTATTATATAAGATACTTTAAAAAGACCAACATATACTCCCTCCGTCCTTATCATAAGATCCAATTTTTTGAATGAGTTTGTCCCTTTTTATAAGATCCTCTTTGAGTTTGTCTAAGCATTTAATGCAATATTACTTATTTTACCCTTAATTTAATGTATTTAATACATTCTCTTTTTTATTTATCTCACTATTATTCTCTCACATTTATCTATTTATATATAGGGGCATATTTGGAAAAAATTACATTTGCTACATATTAATTGCTTTTAACTAATTTTAACAGTTTTTTTAAACCACGTAATTTAGTTTAAAAGATTTTATAATAAGGGACGAAGTAGTATATTTTTTCAAAATATTAATTTAATCAATCTTTTTAATCTCTATAACATTCTAAACTGAGATAATTAAATCTTTTAAATGGACATGGCTGGGTCCTTTTCCTTTGGGACAACCGCACTGAAAGATAATCATGCATAAATGACAAAAACTCAAATGTACGTGTTCAAATAAATTATGAGCGTCAAATACGACTTTTCATCCCCTCGTTTTCGCACCACCACATCACATCGTTGGTTGAGCAGGACTTTTACAAATAATGAACTAGATGGAGCCCTAATAATATGTACGTTTATTTTAGCTTCATCGAATATACAACTCAAATAACAAATTACTCTCCTGATCCTATTTATAACACACTTACAGCATGTTTTTACACAGGTTAAAAAAAATCTTAAATGTCATTAACTCATTTAAAATTTAATGACTTTCTAACTTTATCCCTATTTAATATATATTATACCTCATATAACAAAGTCAATACAATAATAAATGAGGAGTAAAATTATACATCTATACAAAAAATTTCTCTCAATATCCTATAAATAGGACCAGAAAAGTACTTTTTTATTTTTAATAGTGTACTTTATTTCGTTTTTTATATAATTGACTTAACTAATTTTTTATTTTTTTATAATTAATTAACTATCTTTTATATTTGCCATAACGAGTAAATCTTTTTCATTGATGGGTGTGAGTCCTTTTCATTTATCACAACCGCACAGCTGTGCCTATGGCCACACGGGTTCATTGAAAGATAATCATGCATAAACGACAAAAATTCAAGTAAAATTTAACTCGGGTAATTTAACAGCATCGCTACATATTATGAGCATCAAATAGGACACTTCATGCCTCCTATCGTTTTCATACCACCACATCACATAGTTGAGTCGGATGATTAATGATTATGAATTTGAGATTTGGATAATTAATTGACATGCCAAAATGGGGAAGCATGTATGAGTTTTAACTCTCTCCCATTATTAGGTCAGTGGGGTTGGGTGATATATCTTTTCATTCACCGCAACCGCACAGCTGGGCCGACAAGGGTACGTTTATAGAAAATAGTTAAAGACGCTAATGATGCTTCCTTATTAAAGAACTTTTGTGATCAGATTTACAGCGTAGTATGAAATCTCAGTTTGATTTGGTGGAACCCGTGAATCAGTTTTCTGATCGGTCTGGTTAAAAATTTTAGACCCATTTGATTGGCTTAGCTTATATACACACACAGACAAAGCATAGTACTTAATATAAGATTCAATTAACTAATTTAAAAAAATTAACAAAATTAAAAGTTACTTAATTACAGCATACGTTACATGATCTTTCTCAAATAATTATTTGTATCATTAGATTATATATTATTTTATAAAGATAATATATAAATACTTTAAAGTAATTTTTTAGTTTTATTAATTTTTCCAAATTAGTTAACTAGGTCCTATATTAAGGGCTAGAAATAGTATATATTTTCTTCTATTGTTGAGCTTAAAAAGATATTACTTTGAATTTTAAAAACAAACCAGTCCATCATATTTGTGCTTGACTAACGCTTTTTTATTGCATTGTGCATGATTTATATATAAATATACTACTTATGTATGAATTAATGCCTCTTTTATTTAAATATTAATCTTTTCAAAGTTATATATATACTCCTCTAGTCCTATTTATAAGGCAAAGAAAGAAAATATTTTTTAATTCTATTTATAGGACACTGAGAAAATTTTTTTATATGGATATACAATTTTATCTTTTATTTATTATTATATTGACTTTGTTTACATAATATATAATGAATATTGAATAAGAATAAAGTTGAAAAGTTATTGAATTTTAAATGAGAGTTAATGAAATTTAATATTTTTTTTATGTAAAATATGTTAAAAGTGTAAAATATCTTTGTAACTTTAATTAAATTATATTATTTTAAATGATTAGTCTGATTTCAAGTTGATCCCGACTCGAACCATTTACTCTTTGAACCATTTTCTTAACGGGTTCATTGACTAGTTTGGTTTTTAACAATATGTTTGTGGCTGCACAATTTCCTATCATGACTTTGTTATTCCAAAGATTCCTTATGTCTTTCGGTTTGTTCAAAGATAAGAGCCTCGTATGGGAATTAATGAAGCCTGACTTTCTAATCAACAAAAACTCTTAGGGGTTTGTGTTGCAATTTTCCCACATTTTAATGCTCTGAGGAGATGAGATTTTGGAATGATGAGCAATTATGCAAGAAGGCATGATTGAAACATTAAAGAAGATGGTCTTTAACAGAGCGTTGAATGCAAAATGAGAACTTAATTTGGATGTGTTTTAATTTGGTGTTTAAAACTTTTCATTCTCTAGATTCTTTAATATTATTAGTATCCGCCATTAAATATATTTCGTATATCTTTCTGTCCCTGAAGTAAAAGTTAGACTATTTGCAAAGATTAGAAAAATTATTTAAATTATTTATTTGTTAAAAATATGTATTAATTTTTCTAAAATACCATCTTTAATAATTTATATTAAAAATATTTTTTGATTAAAAAAACTCATTAACATGCACAACTAATATAGATAATTAAAAAATAAAATAAATTAACTAAATATTCTATTTTGGACGGGAGAGAAATTCTGTTAAGGATTCTTGATTTAAACCTCAAATAAATACGGGGTCCACAACCGAGCTCACATCCACAAAATTTTCACATCATTGTACGATCCTAATTAAAGTTTTCAACAATCATATCATCTCATTTTTCTTATAAAAAAAAAAAAAGAGAATTGCAATTAGATCCTTAGATTAAATACAAAAAGATCTCTTAAAATTATAAAATTATTCTGAAGTCTTAAGGGATCTTTTTGCAATAAATTTTATTTGTTTAATTACCAAATTACTCTTCTTTTTTTTTTAAAAAAAGTTTATATTGACAACTGGAAAAACAGTTATTGACAACTTAGGATGTAAGGATTGACAACTATCGCGGCTGGTTTGACAACACATTTCCTCAGCATATCACACCTAAGTTGTTAAACCAACTACGATAGTTGTCAATCTTTGCGCCCTAAATTGTCAATTACTGCTCCTTTAGTTGTCAATGCAAACTTTAAAAAAGAAGACGGGTAATTTGATAATTAAACAAATAAAATTTATTGTAAAAAAATTCTTTGGGACTTCAGAAATTTCATTTCAAGAGATTTTTTTTATTTAATTTTCTTAGGTGGGATCTAATTGCAATTTTCTCTTAAAAAAAAAATCTTACCATCTTTCATCCAACTGATAAAATAATCATGCGAAGACAAAGTTTTGCTAGATCCGTCGCATTCATAATAAAATACCCTAAACTACCCCTCCCCATTGTCGAGTGCGCCTATAAATAGAAGCTTCATCCTCTGGCTTCCTCACTCCACCATCAAACAAACACATACAAGAAGCTTCTGATCTGCTCGCAATACCCTCTAGCAATGAAGGCTGCCTTGCTTACTCTCTTCCTTTTCTTCGCCTTAGCATCAGCCAACTGTGATGACTTGCGTGACACTGAAGGCAACCCCATCAGAAACGGTGGCTCATACAACATCCTCCCAGCACGGCATGGAAACGGCGGCGGCCTCGACCTTGCTGCCACTGGCGGCGAATCTTGCGCTGTTACCGTCGTTCAAGCCTTGTCAGAACAATCCAACGGTGCGCCTACCAGACTTTCTTCTCCTTACAGAGTAGCTTATCTCTCCCCAAACCTTAATGTGGACCTCACCGCCGTAGCACCACCAAAGTGCGCGGCGCAACCGGCGAGATGGACGATCGTCGGCCGAGAAGAAGAGAATAGGCAAGTGAAACTTGCGGGACAGCCAGACACCGTACGTGGTTCGTTTAGAATTCAGACCCATCGTGGTTTGACTTATAAGATTGTGTTCTGTGAGAGTGGTGAAGAGTCTTGCAGTGCTCTTGGGCTTTCCAACGACAAGAAAGGACACAGAATTTTGTCTATTAACGATGAGAATCCTTTAGTTGTCGTGTTTCGCAGGGCTCAATCATCTGCCGCCTAAAGGGTGGGCTGTACTGTGGAAATGCCGATGAAGCCACTGCGTGTTGCAGGCAGTTTACATAACTCCTTGCACGTAATAATAAATAAAATATATAATGCTTCGTGTGCTTTCCTTTTCCACCTCTGTATCTGAAGCCTAACATAAATAAAATTATGTTCCAAGCCCTTTCTCTACTATATCTACACTCTATTTATATATAAATATATATATATTACCTTCAAAATTATAAAACTTAAACTACTCCTAGCTTTTCACGGCTGTTGACGCCAAAATTTCAAGTATAATATATATACCCCTCCATATTGTTTAGTTCTTAATACAAAAGGAATTTTTTTTTTTCACCAGCAAATACAAAAGGAAGTTAACTATGCCAGTGGTTGTTTTGGAATTGTTAAAATTTGCTATATTTAACAACTTTTAACTAATTTTGTTCACATCATCAAAGTTGTTAATAGATATAACTGGAATAAAGGCCATATATAGTCTAATATCGGTCGATGAAAGGAGTGGAATATTCTGATAATATGTCTCAAGGACAATTACAAAGCTTATTATTTTTACACATTTACAGGTATATAATCTTAAATTTCTTCGTAGTCATTGTTAATTAACTGGACATAATTAATGATAAATAAGCATAGAGGGTACTAAAATCATTAATGAGGATTATTTATGTGCTTATTTTTAGTCTTTGTGTGATTTTCTATTGTAAGACATTTAATCTCTTTAAGATGTTTGCATTTACACGTGAGGGATCCAGACTTAGCTTCTTGGAGATGGGAATTGTAAATCCCTGAATTTTTATTGGGAAATATTTCTTTTTTCCTTTCATCTTTTATTTTAATTACACTGATAGGCCAACGAATTGATCAGGCGATGTAAATACAAAAATATCTCAATTAAATGTAGATAATCTCATTTGTACTGTCTCTGCAGTTGTTAAGTTGAGCGGATTATTTGATAGAGGCGAAGACTCAAAGCGATCGATTACCCAAAGAGAAGAAGGGGGCGTTGATGACCCAATACAAGGATGACCAAATAAGCTGATAGCTAATATGATATAAGTGTTCTAAATATAAGTGTTCGTCATATTGATGAAATGTACGTAGGAGGGTAAGTGGTGTCATTTCATATTATAAGCTGAGGACAAAACAGTCCAGTCACGAATAGCTTGTGCAACTACAGCAATCTTTCACGGCTCTCCCCTTCCCACGGATCATAATTGCACCAAAAACATACTTCTTACAATTTTAAATATAAGTGTTCGTTATAAGATCTTAATTAAAGGATAATTTCAACACAAACAATTACAAAAACACTTAACATAACTAATATTATTAATTTTTACAGATTAATGATGTAGTAACTTCTATATTTTATTTAATTTGTTTGCCAACTTTTGTCTTAGTTTTTCACAATAATAATGAAGAAGCTACAGTTTTTCAGTCATATCATTTTACTTTTACTTTTTTTTTTTTTGGGTTTCTTGCTCCAATTATGGCGACCGTTAATTTGGTCTTGAAGTTTCAAAACAATCGCGATCAGTGATGGCTTTAACCTTGGGGCCCTTTACAATTTCAACCTCAATAAATTGAAGTCTCTATATATAACGACGTTTAAACTTACTAGAGATTACCCACTGATAAGCAACTTTATTTCCTTTTTTTATATGTATAATTTTTTGCTCTAAATTATTTGCAACGTAACAAAAATATACCCCTCAAATATTGTAGTTAGGTGGTTTAATTTTGTTATAATTGAATATAAGAATTCAATCTACTTTGTTCTTTAAATTTGTTATATTTTTTTAAACTACTATCTCTATTAATTGCACATAATAAAGTTTCTATTAAAGAGGAGTTCCAATACAAATGATTAAAGAGAGTGTTTCATAAAAATTAACACACATCTTTTACAAATAAATATCTTGACTAATTATCTTATTTTTTACAAATCAGTTATCTAGTTTCTTTATATAAAAGACTTCGAGAGTAAAAAAAAATGGTAAACAATTTCACAGGAGGGCTTATGAACCTGAGTGAGAGAATATCAATTTTAAACTTTTTTTTTTTGGTCAACAAAATTTTAAACTTAGCCTTATCAACTCTCATTTATTAAGGGTAGGACAAAACAATAATACTCTTCTAGTCCTAAATATAAAACTCTTATATATTTAGGACCGGAGGAGTACCATGATTCTTTTGGACTCCCACCAATCTTAAATATGGAAATTTATTATAAATGTTATTTTGGTCTTAAATGCAATATTTCAACTTACTTTGTTCCTTCAATTTATAATTTTTTTTTAAAACTATCCCTATTAATTAATTTTACGTATTAAATAAATTAACATATATTTTAAAATTATTAATATAATCAATTTTTTTTAATTTCTATAAGCTAGTTGCCTCTAACATACTAAAACAAGATTGAGTAAATCTTCTTTATTGACGTTGCGGTCCTTTCCCTTTACGACAACCGCACAGCTGTGGCGAGTGGCGATAAGGACTCGTTGAAAGATAAAGATTACCATACGTAAACGACAAAATTCAGATAAAGTTTAACTCCCGTGACTAAAAGCATCAAATATAACATTTCATGCATCCTCTCGTTTTCATGCCACCACATCGCATATACAGTTGAGTCCCATTTTTATAAATTATGAACTAAGATGGAGCCTTAATAATATTTTCTCCGATTTAAAATATAAGTATTAAATAATTAAATCATTGGATTCAAAAAATTGGTTAAAATTAGTTAAAATAAAAGACATGTAGAAATTTAACTTATTTTTCTAAAACATCCTTATATTTGGAGTGAGTGAGTAGGATAAAGAATGGGTGAGCAAAGATATTAGTGAGAATGAATAAAAAAAGAGATGAGAGAATATATAATTAATTAATAATAAAAATGAAAAAAATGCATTAATTGATGGGACAGATTCAAATTAAAACTTGTTAAAAAAATCAAACATCTTTAAAGATTTGATGCTTATATTTTCAAACCAAGGGATTATACATGTTTATTTTAGCTACATTAAATATACAGCTCAGAATGGGGATGCGTGTGTTAGTTTAGAACTTAGTTTTTTTTAATTTACTTAAATCTGGGAGAGGGCTGTGATAGTTTAATTAATGATTATGAATATATGAGTTTTTGATAATTGACTTGCCAAAATGGGGATGCATTTATGAGTCTAACTCTGTCCCATTATTACGTGCTTGTTTGGTTGGCTTAAATAAATATTTATAAGTACGTTTTACATAAGTTGAGATAAAATTTTTCTCACATATTTATCTCATTTTTTAATCCTATTTATAATGCATTGAGAGAATTTTTTTTTATTGATGTACAATTCTATCCTTCAGTTATTATGTTGACTTTGTTTACATGATGTATAATGTACATTGAATAAGGATAAAGTTGGAAAGTTGTTAAATTTTAAATGAGAATTAATGAAGTTTAAGATATTTCTTGGTCTCTATAAAACATGTTAAAAGTGACTTATAAATAGGATCAGAGGAGTCTGTGTTTGAATATTTTTGTCACTTTAATTAAATTATATTATTTTAAATAATTGGTCTAACTTTAAATTGGCCCCAATTCGAACTATTGACTCCTTAAACCATTTTCTTGACCAGTTCATTAACTAACTAGTTTGGTTTTTAGTACCTTGATTAGAAACGATATGCTTGTAGCTGCACAATTTCTTATCATGACTTTATTATTCCAGAGATTTCTTATGTCTTCTGGTTTCCTCGAAGATAAGAGCCTCATGTGGGAATTAATGAAGCCTGACTTTCTAATCGACAAATGAGATGAGAGTGCTTAGGGGTCTTGTGTTGCAATTTTCCCACATTTTAATGCTTCGAGAGGATTAGATTTTGGAATGATGAGCAATTATGCAAGAAGGCATGATTGAAACACTAAAGAAGATGGTCTTTAACAAAGCGTTGAATGCAAAATGAGAACTTAATTTGGATGTGTTTTAGTTTGGTGTTTAGAACTTTTCATTCTCTAGATTCTTTAATATCATTAGTGTCCGCTATTAAATATACTTCCTATATCGTTCTGCCCTAAAAGTAAAAGTTAGACTATTTGCAAAGGTTAAAAAAATTATTTAAATTGTTTATTTGTTAAAAATATGTACTAATTGTTCTAAAATACCCCTTTCAATAATTTATATTAAAACTATTTTTTGATTAAAAAAACTCCTTAACATGCACAATTAATATAGATAATTAAAAAATAATAAATTTTAAAAAAAAAATAAATTGAAAATTTTTATATTTAAAATCAAATATGTCGATTAAATATTCTATTTTGGACGGGAGAGAAATTCTGTCGAGGATTCTTGATTCAAACCTCAAATAAATACGGGGTCCACAACCGAGTTCACATCCACAAAATTTTCACATCATTGTACGATCCTAATTAAAGTTTTCAACAATCATATTATCGCGCTTTTCTTATAAAATAATCTTACTATCTTTAATCCAACCGATAAAATAATCATGCGACGACAAAGTTTTGCTAGATCCTTCGCATTCATAATAAAATACCTAAACTACCCCTTCCAAGTGTCGAGGGCGCCTATAAATAGAAGCTTCATCCTCTGGACTCCTCACTCCACCATCAAACAGACGCATACAAGAACCTTCTGATCTGCTCGCAATACTCTCTAGCAATGAAGGCCGCCTTGCTTACTCTCTTCCTTTTCTTCGCCTTAGCATCAGCCAACGGTGATTACTTGCGTGACACTGAAGGCAACCCCATCAGAAACGGTGGCTCATACAACATCCTCCCAGCACGGCATGGAAACGGCGGCGGCCTCGACCTTGCTGCCACTGGCGGCGAATCTTGCGCTGTTACCGTCGTTCAAGCCTTGTCAGAACAATCCAACGGTGCGCCTACCAGGCTTTCTTCTCCTTACAGAGTCGCTTATCTCTCCCCAAACCTTGATGTGGACCTCACAGCCGTAGCACCACCAAAGTGCGCGGCGCAACCGGCGAGATGGACGATCGTCGGCCAACAAGAAGAGAATAGGCAAGTGAAACTTGCGGGACAGCCAGACACCGTACGTGGTTCGTTTAGAATTCAGACCCATCGTGGTTTGACTTATAAGATTGTGTTCTGTGAGAGCGGTGAAGAGTCTTGCAGTGCTCTTGGGCTTTCCAACGACAAGAAAGGACACAGAATTTTGTCTATTAACGATGAGAATCCTTTAGTTGTCGTGTTTCGCAGGGCTCAATCATCCGCCGCATGAAGGGTGGGCTGTACTGTGGAAATGCCGATGAAGCCACTGCGTGTTGCAGGCAGTTTATATAACTCCTTGCACGTAATAATAAATAAAATATATAATGCTTCGTGTGCTTTCCTTTTCCAACTCTGTATCTGAAGCCTACAATAAATAAAATTATGTTCCAAGTGGCTTCCTTTTCTCTTTTCTAGCCCTTTCTCTACTATATCTACTCTCTCTCTCTCTCTATATATAAATATATATATATATTACGTTTAACTACAACTAGCTTTTTACTGTTGTTGACAGCAAAATTTCAAGTATAATATATATACCCCCCCATATTGATTAGTTCTTAATACAAAAGGAAGTGAACTATACCAGTGGTTGTTTTGGAATTGTTGAAATTTGCTATATTTAACAATTTTTAACTAATTTTATTCACATCATCAAAGTTGTTAATGGGTAGAACTGGAATGAAGGCCATATATACTCTAAGATCGGTCCAAGAAAGTAGGGGAATATTCTAAAAACATGTCTCAAGAAGGACAGTTACAAAGTTTATTATTTCTATACGCTTACAGGTATATAATCTTAAATTTCTTCGTACTCGTTATTAACTAACTGGACGTAACTAATGATAAATAAGCATAGAGGGTAGTGAAATCATTTATGAGGATTATTTATGTGCTTATTTTTAGTTTTCCTGTGATTTTCTGTTGTAAGACATTTGATCTCTTTAAGATGTCTGCATTTACATGTGAGGGATCCAGACTTGGCTTGTTGGAGATGGGAGCATCGTACTGTATTAATTGGTGTGTATTCATGCGAAGGAAACAGTAAAAAAATTTTTTCCGGAAGCATTTGCTAGTAAAATCCCTGAATTTTTATTGGGAAATATTTTTTTCCTTTTATCTTTTATTTTAATTAAACTGAAATGCCAACTAATTAATCAGGCGATGTAAATACAAAAATATCTTAATTAAATATAAATACACAAATAACACTGAAAAGAAAAGATAGTCTCCTCACAAGTACAGAACTGAAGTCGAATAAAAATGAGAAAATTTAGATAATCCAAGATGCAACGCGTGAACTACTACATCTAAATGAGAAAACAATTGACAAAGAAAGATTATGTCCTTCGAGATAATCTCATTTGTACTGCTGTCTCTGCAGTTGTTAAGTTGAGCAAATTATTTGATAGAGGCCAAGACTTGAAGCGATCGATTACCCAAAGAGAAGAAGGGGGAGTTGATGACCCAATACGGGGATGACCAAATAAACTTAAAGTTGTGAATTGTGATCCCCTTAAATTTCCTGACCCACTGAAAATTAAAAGTTATTTTTCAGGGAGAATTACCAAGAAGTACCAAGAAAGAAATTTAATTACTAAAAAATCTTAATGACAAATAATCAGTCTAAACCTGTTGTCATTATCTATTTTGGAATTTGTCATTACTTGCTCTTTATTGTCAATAGACTTTAGGCAATTAAATTTCTTCCTTAGGACCTGATTGCAATTTTGCCTATTTTTTATACACAAACCTCTCTCAAAATTAAAAGTTATTTTTTAAAAAATATCTCTCCTATTTTTAAAATTCTGTTCACATCAATTCAACCGTTATTCCTCCGTTAACTAAAAAAAAAAGTTGTAACGCTTTTGGTTTTCCTAAAATATTCTTCCTTTAACTATAATTTTCTAATTATATTTCTCAGGGAAAAAGTTCATTCATCATTATAGAATTTACAAAAAATTCCACAGACAAAGTGTTCATATAGCCACAACAAAGATAAGTTATTCAAACCCTCTCTAGCTATTCTCGTGAAGATCTTGGTATTTCAAAGATCATGTCCACAAAGCTAATTTATGTATTTTCAACTAAATAAGCCAATAAAAATAAATAAACTTTATGATTCATAATAACATTGAAGGGAAGTGTTTGAAGACATCAAATCTTAGCTCAAAATCTTAAAACTCAATACCTTTTATTAATTTTACCCTGCAAAATTAATACACTGGACTTGTGAAGAGTTAAGGAATTAATACAGATTGCAAACAATGAGTTGAGCTCAAATTAAAGAACATATCCCTTTAATCATAGCATAATCAACTCAAATTACTGTCAGTCCTCCAGCTCGCATGGTAGGGTTTCTGAATTTAATGAAATGCACGTAGGAGGGTAACTGGTGTCATTTTACATTATAACTTGTGCAATTGCAACAATATTTCACAGCTCTCCTCTTCCCACGGATCATAATTGCGCCAAAAATATATTGCTTCCAATTCTAAATATAAGTGTTCGTCATAGGATCTTAATTAAACGATAATTTCAACACAAACAATTACAAAAAATAATTAACATAACTAATGTTATTAATTTTTACAGATTAATTATGTAGTAACTTCTATATTTTATTTAATTTGTTTGCCAACTTTTGTCTTAGTTTTCCACAATAATAATGAAGAAGGTACAGTTTTCAGTCATTTCATTTTACTTTTTTTTCCCCTTTTTTAGTGGTTTCTTGCTCCAATTATGGCGAGCATTAATTTCGTCTTGAAGCTTCAAAACAATCGCGATCAATGATGGCTTTAACTTTGGGGCCCTTTACAATTTTAACCTCGGTAAATTCAAGTCTCTATATATAACGACGTTTTAAACTTACGAGATAACACTCACTGATAAGCAACTTTATTTCCTTTTTTTTTACATGTATAATTTTTTGCTCGTTAGGTGGTTTAATTTGGTTATAATTGAATATAAGGCTTGAATCCGTTTTATTTTTTAAATTTGTTATATTTTTTTAAACTACTATTGATTGCACATAATACAGAGTTTCTATCAAATAGGAGTTCAAATGCAAATGATTAAAGAGAGTATTTCATGAAAATTAACACACATCTTTTACAAATAAATAGCTTGACTAATTATCTTATATTTTACAAATTAATTATTTAGCTCTTCTCTGTTAAAGACTTAGAGTAAAAAAAATAAGATGGTAAAGTTGAGAGGAGTGCTTGTCAACATGAGCGAGAGAATCTCAAACTTTTAAACCTTTTTTTTTGGCAACAGAATTTTAAACTTAGCCTTATTACCTCTCATTTATTTAGTGTAGGACAAAACAATAATACCATGATTCTTTTGGAACCCTCCAATTTTAAATATAAAAGTTAATTAAAAATTTTATTTCGCCTCTAAATGTAATATTTCAACTTATTTTTTTTCTCCCATTTATAATTTCTTTTCAAATTATCCCTATTAATTAATTTTACCTGTTAAATAAATTTTCTTTAATGTGTTACTTTGCAGTGTAAATTATTAGAGGGGATTCTTCGAGGAAATTAACACATATTTTTAAAATTATTAATTTAATCAATTTTTTAAATTTCTATTAATTAGTTACCTTTAACATTCTAAAACAAGATTGAGTAAATCTTTTTGATTGACGTGGCAGGGTCCTTTCCCTTTATGACAACCGCACAGCTGTGGCGGCCACGTTTCGTCGAAAGATAATCATACATAAAGGACAAAATTTAACTCCCATCATACATAAACGACAAGTGTAACATTTCATTTCATGCATCCTCTCGTTTTCATGCCACCACGTACATCGCACATACAGTTGAGTCCGATTTTTATAAATTATGAACTAAGATGGAGGCCTCTCGGGTTTAAAATATAAGTATCAAATAATTAAATCACTCAATTCAAAATATTAGTTTAAAGATAAAAATAAAAGACACGTACCAATATAACTTTTTCTTTTTCTAAAACATCCTTATCTATGGAGTGGATGAGTAGGATAAAGAGTGAGTGAAAAAAGATATTAGAGAGAATGAATGAAGAAAAAAGGATGAGATATATATAATTAATTAGGGATACAAATAAAAAAATGCATTAAATGATGGGATAAATTTGAAGTAAAACTTGTAAGAAATGAAACGTCTACCAAGATTTAATACTTATATTCTCAAACGAAGGGATTATATATGTTCATTTTAGCTATACATTAAATATACTACTCAAAATGGTGATGCATGTGTTAGTTTATAACTTAGTTTTCTTAATTTACTTAAATATGTGAGAGGGCTGTGTTAGTTTAATTAATGATTATGAATATGGGATTTGGATAATAAATTGACATGCCAAAATGGGGAAGCATTTGAGTTCAACTCTCTTCTATTATCAGGTGCTTTTTTGAGTTTGCTTAAATAAGTATTTATAAATATATTTTACATAAATCAAAATAAAATTTTTTATATATATTTATTTTGTATTACGTAAATCATAATTAAAAAAAAAATGATATCCCCAACAAATTAAAAAAAATGGTATCCCCAACAAATGCTAGGATAGTGGGGTTGGGTAATATATCTTTTCATTCACCGCAACCGCACAGCTGGTCCGACAAGGGTACGTTCAGAGAAAATAGTTAACGAAATTCTGCCAAGGATTCTTGATTTAAACCTCAAATAAATATGGGGTCCACAAATGACCTCACATCCACAAAATTTTAACATCATTGTACGAACCTAATTAAAAGTTTGAAAATGTTATTATTTTTAATCCAACGGATCGGATAAAGTTCTCATCGGACGCCAAAGTTTTGCTATATCTTTTTGCATTCATAAGGAAATACCTAAACGATCCCTGCCAAGAATCGAGTGTGCCTATAAATAGAAGCTTCATCCTCTCATTTCCACACAACTCCATCAGACAAACACATACAGAAACCTTCTGATCTCAAGCAATGAAGGCTGCCTTGCTTGCCCTGTTCTTCCTTGTCTTTGCCTTCACATCAGCCAAAGCAAGTATTTTGGTTGACACCGAAGGCAACGCCGTCAGAAATGGTGGCTCATACTACATCCTTCCAGCACGCCGGGGAAACGGCGGCGGCCTCAGCCTTGCGGCCATCGGCGGCGAATCTTGCCCTCTTACCGTTGTTCAAACTTTGTCCGAACAATCCAACGGTTTGCCCACCAGACTTTCTTCTCCTTACAAAATCCTTTATCTGCCCACAAACTTTGATTTGGACTTCACCGTCGTTGCACCACCAAAGTGCGCAGCCCAACCGGCGAAATGGACGATCGTCGGCCGAAAAGAAGAGAATAGGCAAGTGAAACTAGCGGGACAGCAAGACACCGTACGTGGTTCGTTTAGAATTCAGACACATCGTGGCCTGACCTACAAGATTGTGTTCTGTGAGAGTGGTGAAGAGTCTTGCAGGGCTCTTGGGCTTTCCAACGATGACAAAGGACACAGAATTTTGTCTATTAACGATGAAAATCCTTTCGTTGTCGTGTTTCGTAAGGCTCAATCATCTGCCGCATAAAGGGTGGACTGCACTGCGTTAATGCTGAGGAAGCCACTGCATGTTGCAAGACTTTACATAACTCCTTGCACGTAATAATAGAATAATGGTTCATGTGTTTTCCTCTTCTACCTCTGTATCTGAAGCCTAACATAAATAAAATCATGTTCCAAGTGGCTTCCTTTTCTCTTTTAATTTCTAGCTCTTTCACTACTATATATATATATATATATATATATATAAATATTACGTTTGAAGCACTATTACAAAAAATATATTTAACAACGGTTAAAATGAGTTTTTCATGACGGTTTTAAGAGCGACGTCTATGCTATCGACATAAAATATAAAAGATTTCACGATGGTTGAAGAACCGGCATGGTATGTGATTTTTCACGGCGTTTATATAAATAACCGCCGTGGAAATTTTCTTTTTTTTAGGTTACTTTCATCCTATTGATTAGGATGGGAATAACAAAGCCCCAAAGGAAGGGGTTTGAGAATTAATTAACTAATAACCTCTTACTAGTTAAAAGCATTTTGATGAAACAAATGTAAATTCTTTTCCATCATAATAGCGTCCTTTCGCTTCGCTTTCTACCACCAGATCGAAGTTATTAAGATTTAATAAAAGTAAAATCAAAAACTCAGATTTGATAAAATTCATGAATTTCAGGCTGTCAAACCACAAAAACTATGAAAACCATGGAAAGAATGGAGGAGAAAGGGTGAAATGGCAATAGTGACGGTAACAACGACAGCAACGGTGATGGAAGAACATGGCGGAGATGATAGAAGCAAAGGTAGGAGGAGGCAGAAAATCGAGTGAGGAGGTAATGGGGGATTATGAGCTCTGACTCTGAAAAGTAAAAACTATCGCATGATGGATAGGGTTTTAAAATTTTGATAGACTTTTTAAAGTGGTTATTTAAAAAACCGCTGTTAAAAGTATTTCTTAACATCGCTGTTAAAAGAAATACTTTTAACAGCGGTTTTTTAAATAATCGCCATGAAAAGTAAAATTCACTTCCCTATAATTACAAAAATACCACCGTCATGTTTTTTACAGTGTTTTTTCTAATGATCGTCGTAAATTAGTGTCGTGAAAGCTCTTTTTTATAGTAGCGAAGGTGTACAACTTAAACTACTCCTACCTTCTTACTGTTATTGACACTAAAATTACAAGGATAATATATACACCCCTCCAATCCTATACATGAGATCATATCCATTAGGAGAAATTCTTAGGCGCTCCAGCAGCACCAACTCATCTGTGCTCTATCCAATGAGAAGGCTCCAACTCAGACATTCTTAATCTCACATGTCAGCCAGCTACTTTTAATTGTTTTATTGTTTTAAAAATTAAAAATGTCTTTGATAAATTCCTCAGGTTGCCCTCCCTTTTCTCTTTCTCAACCCCTCTCTTCCTCACTCCCTCCCTTCATTGACGACCTTCCTTCCAGAACCTCAGCCTTCGCCTCCACCTCATCCGGCGCCACCCCTCCCTCTTCGCCAGAAATATCCGCCATAGCTGATCTTACCAACGCTGTCACCATTCTCACACTCGCATCCAAATGCTCCAACTTCAAAAGATCCCAACACCAGATCTCAAATCCACAATGTGTTGATACTAATACATATAGCTAGAGATAGAGTAAGTAGCTAGAGAAAGGAGCTTGAAAATAGCGATTTAAGAGAGAGAAAGTTTGAGGGGAATGCTTTTTGTTACCGTTATTCTTATTTCTAAGATTAAAGCAAGAAGAGGGAGAAGAAGCTTTGTTGATTCAGATCCGCAAAGTGGAAGGGGAAAAAATGCACAGTGGAACTGGATCTACAACCTATTGCATGTGTTCTAGGTTCAAGACTAGAATCACCACGGTTGCTAATGAAGGATTTTTGCCATCACTGGTGTAGGATGCCACCGCCGTTGGGATCTAAGAAGTAAATAGAGAGATGAAGGGAGGGAGGGAGAATTTGAGACTGAGAGACAAGGAAGCTATCGAGAAAAGGTAAGGGGTAGTAAAGGAAATCATTAAACCCTGATATTTTTATTTTTTTAAAACAATAAATTAATAGAAATGAATAGAGTGACATGTGGGATTAAAATTACCTGAGTTAGAGTATTCTTATTGGACAGACTACAAATGAGCTGGTGCTCCTAGTGCACCTAAGAATTTCTCCCCCATCTTTGTCTACTCAATTAATTATACCAGTGGTTGTTTTGGAATTGTTAAAATTTGCTATATTTAACAACTTTTAACTAATTTTATTCACATCATCAAAGTTGTTAATAGGATTTATGAAAGGGATCAGAGGGCGTGTGTGTGTATTAGCAGTGGGAGGGAGTACTAGATATAACTGGAATAATGGCCATATATCCTCTAAGATCGGTCGAAGAAAGTAGTGGAATATTGTAAAAATGTGTCTCAAGAAGGACATTGACAATGCTTATTATTTCTATACATTTGCACATATATAATCCTAGGTTTCTTCGTACTCATGATTAATTAATTGGACAAAATTAATGATAAATAAGCATAAGGGTAGTAAAATCATTTATGAGGATTATTTATGTGCTTATTTTAGTTTTTGCGTGATTTTCTGTTGTAGGGCATTTGATCTCTTTAGCTTGTTTGCATTTACATGTGAGGAATCCAGACTTAACTATTCACACGAAGAAAACAGTAATTTTTTTTCCGGAAACGTTTGCTACTAAAATCTTAAAACTCAGTACCTTTTATTTTATTATCGGGTAAATGCACAATTTTACCATGCAACATTAATACACTGGAATTGCGAAGAGTTGATGAACTAATAGAGATTGCAAACAATGAGTTTAGCTCAAATTAAAGAACTTATCCCTTTAATCATAGCATAATCAACTCAAATTACTGTCAGTTCTCTAGCTCGCATGGTAGGTTCCTGAATTTGATGAAATGTACGTAGGAGGATAATTGCTGTCATTTCACATTATAAGCTGAGGACAAAACAGTCCATTCATTAATAGCTAGCTTGTGCGATTGTAATCATCTTTCACAGCTCTCCTCTTCCCACAGATCTTAATTGCACCAAAAACGTACTGTTTCCAATTCTAAATATAAGTGTTCGTTATAAGATGTTAATTAAGTGATAATTTTTAATGCAAATAATTACAAGAATAACTAACTTAACTATTTTTTTTATTTTTACAGATTAATTATGCAGTAACTTCTATATTTTGCTCAAGAAGGCTAACCAAACATAGATGCCGCATAGTAATGAACCTCTGATTATCCTTATCATCCCTCCCTACCTCCACTCCGATATGGTACTAATAAATGTACGATTCAAGATCCCAAACAATTTTATTTAATTTGTTTGCCAACTTTGTCTTAGTTTTCCGCAATAATAATGAAGAAACTACAGTTTTCAGTCATATCATTTTGCTTTTTTTTTTTTGGGGTTTCTTGCTCCAATTATTGCGACCGTTAATTTGGTCTTGAAGCTTCAAAACAATCGCAATCCGTGATGGCTTTAACTTTGGGGCCCTTTACAATTTCAAACTCTCAATAAAGTTAAGTCTCTACATATAACGTCGTTTAAACTTACTAGATATTACTCACTGATAAGCGACGTTATTTCCTTTTTGTTATATGTATAATTTTTTGCTCTAAATTATTTATAAGGTAACAGAAATACAATCCTCAAATATTGTAGTTAGGTGGTTTAATTTGGTTATAATTGAATATAAGACTTCAATCTGTTTTATTTTTTAAATTTATTATATTTTCTCTAAACTATCTCGATTGATTGCACATAATACAAAATTTCTATTAAAAAGGAGTTCAAATACAAATGATTAGAGAAAGTATTAATTCACACACATCTTTTACAAATAAACAACTTAATTAATTATCTTACGCTTTATAAATTATCTATCTAACTCCTCTATATTAAGGACTTAAAGAGAGTAAAAAATATGGTAAACAAGTTGATAGGAGTGCTTATAAATATGAGTGAGGGAATCTCAAAATTTTAAACTTGGCATTATCATCTCTCATTTATTAAGGGTGGGATAAAACAATAGTACAATGATTCTTTTAGACTCCCTTTGTCTCTTCCTTTTATAATTTTTTTTTGCCAGCATTTATAATTTCTTTTTAAACTATCCTTATTAATTACTTTCACATATTAAATAAATTTTCATCAATGTAGTAGTTCTCAACGTAAATTATTAGAGAGGATACTTCAAGAAAATTAACATAGATTTTTTAAATTATTAATTTAATCAATTTTTTTAATTTCTATAAACTAGTTACCTTTAACATACTAAAACAAGATTGAGTAAATCTTCTTTATTGACGTCGCAGGGTCCTTTCCCTTTATGACAACCGCACAGCTGTGGCGACAAGGTCTCGCTGAAAGATACAGATAATCATACATAAACGACAAATTTTAGATGAAATTTAACTCCCATAATTAAGTAGCATGATCGCTATGAGCATCAAATATAACATTTCATGCATCCTCTCGTTTTCATGCCACCACATCACATATACAGTTGAGTCCCATTTTTATAAATTATGAACTAAGATGGAGCCTTAATAATATTTTCTCCGATTTAAAATATAAGTATCAAATAATTAAATCATTCAATTCAAAAAATTAGTTAAAAATAAAAGACATGTAAAAATATAACTTATTTTCCTAAAACATCCTTATTTATGGAGTGAGTGAGTAGGATAAAGAATGGGTAAGAAAAGATATTAGTGAGAATGAATGAAAAAAAGATGAGAGAAATCTATAATTAGTTAATAAAAAAAATGCATTAAATGATAGGGCAAATTCAAATTAAAACTTGTAAAAAAATCAAACATCTTTAAAGGTTTTATGCTTATATTTTCAAACCAAGGAATTATATATGTTTATTTTGGCTACATTAAATATACAACTCAAAATTGTGACGCATGTGTTATTTTATAACTTAGATTTTTAATTTACTTAAATCTGTGAGAGGGCTGTGTTAGTTTAATTAATGATTATGACTATGTGAGTTTTGGATAATTAACATGCCAAGATGGGGAAGCTTTATGAGTTTAACTCTCTCCCATTATCACATGCTTATTTGGGTGGGCTTAAATAAGTGCTTATAAACACATGTTATGTAAGTTGGGATAAAATTTTTCTTATATACTTACCTTATATTCTGTAAATAAAAAACTACTTATAAGTTGTTTTCACACTAGGTCATTGGAGTTGGGTGATATATCTATTCATTCACCGCAACCGCACAGCTGGGCCGACAAGGGTAGGTTCACAGAAAATGGTTAAAGACTCTAATGATTCTTCTTTTTAAGTTTTGCCAAATCTTTTGCATTCATAACGAAATACCTAAACGACCCCTGCCAAGTATCGAGTGGGCCTATAAATAGAAGCTTCATACTCTCGTTTCCACACAACTCCATCAGACAAAGGCATACAGAAACCCTCTGATCTGCTCACAATGAAGGCTGCCTTGCTTGCCCTCTTCTTCCTTGTCTTTGCCTTCACATCAGCCAAAGCTGGTGTTTTGGTTGTTGACACTGAAGGCAACCCCGTCAGAAATGGTGGCTCATACAACATCCTCCCAGCACGGTCTGGAAACGGTGGCGGCCTCGACCTTGCTGCCACTGGTGGCGAATCTTGCGCTGTTACCGTTGTTCAAGCCTTGTCAGAACAATCCAACGGTTCGCCCACCAGACTTTCTTCTCCTTACAGAGTCCGTTATCTCTGCACAAACCTTGAAGTGGACCTCACCGCCGTTGCACCACCACAGTGCGCCGCGAAACCGGCGAGATGGACGATCGTCGGCCAAGAAGAGGAGAATAGGCAAGTGAAACTTGCGGGACAGCCAGACACCGTACGCGGTTCGTTTAGAATTCAGACACATCGTGGTTCGACTTACAAGATTGTGTTCTGTGAGAGTGGTGAAGAGTCTTGCAGGGCTCTTGGGCTTTCCAACGACAACAAAGGACACAGAATTTTGTCTGTTAACGATGAGAATCCTTTCGTTGTTGTGTTTCGTAAGGCTGAATCATCTTGTGCATAAAGGGTGGACTGTGCTGCGGAAATGCTGATGAAGCCACTGCATGTTGCAAGTAGTTTACATAACTCCTTGCACGGAATAATAAATAAAATAATGCTTCATATGCTTTCCTTTCCTACCTCTGTATCTGAAGCCTAAAATAAATAAAATTATGTTCCAAGTGGCTTCCTTTTCTCTCTTTTCTAGCCCTTTCTCTACTATATCTACCATATATATATATATATATATATATATATATTACGTTTAAATTTGTACAACTTAAACTACTCCTAGCTTTTTACTGCTATTGACGCCAAAATTTCAAGTATAATATATATACCCCTCCAAATCGATTAATTAGTCCTTAATGCAAAATTCGTTATGAAATTTAATGAAGCACCTATGACGCAATTTCAAAATACGCTTTTGTCTTTTTTACTCTTGTTTATCTCTTTCATCCTTCTCATCTTTGTCTATCCAATTAACTATACCAGTGGTTGTTTGGAATTGTTAAAATTTGCTATATTTAACAACTTTTAACTAATTTTATTCAGATCATCAAAGTTGTTAGCAGGATTTATGAAAGGGGTCAGAGGTTGTGCGTGCGTGCGTGCGTGTGTGTTAGCAGTGGGAGGGAGTACTAGATATAACTGGAATAATGGCCATATATCCTCTAAGATCGGTCGAAGAATGTAGTGGAATATTCTAAAAATGTGTCTCAAGAAGTAGGGGTGTTCAATTTGTCCCGTCCCGGTCGTCCCGTCCCGGTTCCGGTGAGTTCGGGACGGGACGGGACGGGACGCGGGACAGGGTTGTCCCGTCCCGTCCCGTCCCGTCCCGGGATATTTTTTTTAAAAAAAATTATTTATTAATAATTATTATTAGATTATTCAATTTACTTATTAATAATAATAATTATTTTTATAGTGATTTTTAACTCTTAAGTTGTAATATTATCTCAACAATATTTCCTTCCTCAATAAAATAATTCATAAGGCCATTATATAGTGTTTTTTTTATCGTATTTTTTTTTACAGTATTGTTTTTACACCTTTTTTATACTATATAATTGAGTTTTCTATATAATATTTTTTATAATTTTTTTATCTTTAGAAGCCTAACAAAAAATAAGCATTATAACATAAAAAAATTTCATATAAAAAATTATAGTTTTTTTTTTAAAAAAAAGGGGGAGGGCAACGGGACACGGGACTAAAACCCTGTCCCGTCCCTGTTCACCGGGACGGGACCGGGACGGGCCTGTCCCGGTCCCGTCCCGTCCCGTGAGCACCCCTATCAAGAAGGACATTGCCAATGTTTATTATTTCTATACATTTACACGCATATCATCTTCGCACTCACTGTTAATTAATTGGACATAATTAATGATAAATAAGCATAGAGGGTAGTAAAATCATTTATGAGGATTATTTATGTGGTTATGTTTAGTTTGTGTGATTTTCTGTTGTAGGACATTTGATCTCTTTAGCTTGTTTGCATTTACATGTGAGGGACCCAAACTTAACTATTCATACAAAGAAAACAGTACTTCTAATTCGGTCCTGAATATATGACCTAACTGTTAAATTAATTTTGGTCCTAAATATAAGATCTATTTCTTATATTTATCAATTTGTGCTAAACTACCCCTATGAATACTTTCTCAATCATAATCAAGTAAGTAAGGGAGGAATGATATTAAAAAAGATGATTATAGTGTTTTAGGAAAAATATGTCATATTTCTTATAATTAAGTTACCTAACTTCTTTAATCTAATCAAACTAGTTAAATTTGTCTTATATTAAAGACCAAAAGAGTAATTTTTTCTCGGAAATGTTGCTAGTAAAATCTTAAAACTCAATACCTTTTATTTTATTATAGGGTAAATGTACAATTTTACCATACAACATTAATACAATGGAATTGTGAAGAGTTGAGGAACAAATAGAGATTGCAATCAATGAGTTTAGCCCAAATTAAAGAACATTTCCCTTTAATCATAGCATAATCAACTCAAATCACTGTCAGTCCTTTAGCTCGCATGGTAGGTTCCTGAATTTGATGAAATGTACGTAGGAGGATAATTGGTGTCATTTCACATTATAAGCTGAGGACAAAGCAGTCCATTCATGAATAGCTTGGGCGATTGTAATCATCTTTCACAGCTCTCCTCTTCCCATAGATCATAATTGCACTATTAGGAATCAGTTTCTGTGCTCATCACTCTGATGAGTACTTTAGGCTCATTAGATCTTGATGATCCATATCTTATTTGGATGGTCTAGATTTGATTTTTTTTATATTTTTATATGATTATTTTAATATGAATACAATCTAAAATAGAGATAATCTCTTAACTATTATTCGTTAAAAGAAAATTTGTTACTTAAAAACAATTGATTAAAAATTTTAAATCTGAACACTGCAACTGACTCCACATAAACTGTTTCCAATTCTAAATATAAGTGATCGTTATAAGATCTTAATTAAGGGATAATTTTTAATGCAAATAATTACAAGAATAACTAACTTAACTATTTATTTAATTTTTACAGATTAATTATGCAGTGACTTTTGTATTTTGCTTAAGAAGGCTAACCAAACATACACGTCGCATAATAACCAACCCCTGATTATCCTTATCATCCATCCCTACATCCACCCCGAAATGTTCCTAATATATGTACGATTCAAGATCCAAAACAATTTTCTTTAATTTGTTTGCCAACTTTTGTCTTAGTTTTCCACAATAATAATGAAGAAGCTACAGTTTTCAGTCATATCATTTTTTTTCCTTGTTCCAATTATTGCGACCGTCAATTTGGTCTTGAAGCTTCAAAACAATCGCAATCAGTGATGGCTTTAACTCTGGGGCCCTTTACAATTTCAAACTCAATAAATTTAAGTCTATTTATATAACGACGTTTAAACTTACTAGATATTGCTCACTGATAAGCGACTTTATTTCCTTTTTTATATGTATAATTTTTTGCTCTAAATTATTTATAGCGTGGCAAAACTATACTCCTCAGATATAGTAGTTAGGTGGTTTAATTTAGTTATAATTGAATACAAGACTTCAATCCGCTTTGTTTTTTAAATTTTTTTTTTTTAAAACTATCTCGATTGATTGCACATAATACATAGTTTCTATCAAAGAGGAGTTCAAGTGTAAATGATTAAAGAGAGTACTTCATGAAAATTAACACACATCTTTTACAAATAAACACCTTGAGTAATTATTTTACTTTTTATAAATTAGTTATCTAGCTTCTTTATATTAAAAACTTTGAGAGTAAAAAAGATGGTAAACAATTTGACAGGAGTGCTTATAAACATGAGTGAGAGAATCTCAAAATTTTAAACTAGTGTTTTTTTTTGTCAACAGAATTTTAAACTTAGCTTTATCAGCTCTCATTTATTAAGTGTAGGACAAAACAATAACACCATGATTCTTTTGGACTCCCTCCAATCTTAAACGTGGAAATTTATCAAAAATTTTATTTTGGTCCTAAATGTAATATTTCAACTTACTTTATCTCTTCCATTTCTAATTTCTTTTTAAAGTATCTCTATTAATTAATTTTACATATTAAAGAATTTTTCATCGATGTGGTAGTTTTCAATGTAAATTACCGGAGAGGACACTTCAAGAAAATTAACATATATTTTTCAAATTACTAATTTAATTAGTTTTTTTTTAATTTCTATAAACTAGTTACCTTGAACATACTAAAACAAGATTGAGTAAATCTTCTTTATTGACGTCGCAGGGTCCTTTCCCTTTATGACAACCGCACAGCTGTGGCGACAAGGTCTCGCTGAAAGATAAAGATAATCATACATAAACGACAAAATTCAGATGAAATTCATGGGGAAAATCAATGGTTGGCACTAACAATTATGGAGATCGGGAGGGTACAGGCAAGGATCGGAATCAACATGATTCTCGAAATCTCATGGGTATAAAAGGAAATAAAAGTCAATGATTCTCTCCGGAACTAAGACCAAATGAGGATAGATGGAGGATAGGGTTAAGAAGTATATATGCCTGATAAGGCGGAAGTCTTAAATAGGATAACAGGGAGAGAATAGTTCCTCAAAGGAGGCATGGATACAATGGAGAGAGAACAAGCTGGGAGAGTTGGCAGGAATATCCCTAATAAAACTTGGGTGCAAGTGGGCCCAAAGAATAGCATCAAAAGCTCGAGAGGGGGGAACAGGCAAAGAAAATAGAAGCGGTCCAATAAAAACCGATGAACCTATCAAACCTGTGAGGCTGCTACAGGCCCAACACGTGCTAGTCTCTAATAACCCATTTTCAACACTAGACACTATAGATTAGGCAGAGGATATAATCAGGGCGCAGAAGGGAACGGAGCCCACGATATAAAACCACAGTACCCTGGATTTCAAGAACAGCGGTTGATGCAGGAAAGTGAGTCGTGGGGCTAATGTAAATAGAGAATTCCAACTGACAAATATGGAGATGACAGTGGTTGCTATAGCCCTTTCTTTAGAAATTGTTAATTAATGAAGCTACTTTTTTGGAATGCAAGAGGGACGGGGGCTCCCTCCTTCCCAGGCTTGGTCCGAGAATTGGTTAGAAAGCACAAAGTGGATTTTCTTGCTATTCTAAAGACTCAAATAAGTGGTGATAAAGCCAGAAGAAGAGTACGGCGGTTGGGATTTTCTTATTATCGGATTGTTGGTGCATAGGGGTTTAGTGGGGCCATTTGGGTCTTGAAGAATAATGATAAGTAGAGCTTTTAAGTTCTAGAAACCCACGAGCAATTTGTGCATGTCCGAGCTAATGATAGCCAGTGTCAATCTTTTGTCACGGCTATCTACGCCAGCCCAAATCCTGTAAAACAACGTAATGCATGGAGAGACCTGAAGATCGTTCAACGTAGTCCATGGAGCATGGTGCATTAGAGGGGACTTTAATGGGACTATAAGAACACATGAACAGCGTTCTACTTCTAATTCAGGAAGTAACACAGATAGAGACTTTAGTTTGTGGGTAGAGGAAATAAAACTCAATGACCTGGGCTGTAATGGTCCCTTTTATACTTGGAAGCGAGAGTAGGATAGACAAAGTACTAGTTCTGGGGAATTCTAAGTTTCTTAGTGTTTATCTAGAAGCTTCTATTCTACATTTACCTTTCTTTAAGTCAGATCATAGGCCCCTCCT